GTGGCCCTGGAGGCAGGAGAGGCCAAAAGGAGGATTGCTGTGGGGGCAGTGCCTTCGTTTTGGGGAGCAAGGTGCGGAAACATCGCAGCAGGAGGGCCTTAGAGTTCCGACAAGGATGGGTGAGGTGGAGCAGAGAAACAAACTCCCTTCACCAAATCTAACTTCTCTTTCTGTTAGCCCAGCAGAGGAGAAGCGAGACTCATCTGAGACAGGATGGGAGGGGGGTAAGCTGCGGCCTGAGGGAGAGAGGATTCTGTGGAAAGCGCCTCTGTGATTCTGCCCATTCTGTGCTCTAGAATCCACGGCCCCTGTGCTCACCAAAACTCCTGGTCACACAGTCACAGTCTCTAAACACTCAGGTCCTCCCTGCCTTTCGAGTGACATCACCAATCCCGCCACAGTCTTGGTGGCCACGAAATTGACTGACTTGCCCCTCAAAGGTGCCTTACCCATTCCTCACCCAGGCCGTGTCCACGTGGCTCTCTCCCTCCCAGAATGCACCAACTGGGGAGCAGAGCAAGGAGCCCACCTGAGGATTTCTCTCTCAGGACCTACATGAGTTTGAACCCAGCTCCACCCCTGACCAGCTGAGGGACTTGAACATGCTACTTGACTGCTAGACCTCAGTTTTCCTCATCTGCAAATGGGGTTTCTCTCCCCCAAGCCCCACACCATTCACTACTTTTCTTCTCGTCTGTCTCACTCTTTGCTGCTCTGGGGTGTTATGTGCCTTTCTATGGGCAGAGCTAGTCGGGTCACTAATTACCAGATCTGCCACCCTGTGACTCTCTCCCTCTGGAGACAACAGAACAACTCTTAGTGGCTCCGCTGCACTCCGGCGCACCACCTCTCTGGGATCCCACAGGTTGGGGTCTACATTGATGACTCTCAGGGACCCATCCCACGAACATCAGGGGCAGAGCCCTGGGCTTCTGCGTCCCTGCCTCCCGCAGCCCCTGCACAGCACCGAGCAGCTCACGGACGAGCTGGAGGCACCAGAGGGAGTGACTGCCCGTTCTGGCACCTTCTTGGCGGAAGCATTCAAACCAGAAACTGGAAGAAGTGATAACGCTGGGTGGGGCTCCCCAGGAGTGAAGAGGTGCTAGGCCAAGTTGGCGTGGGGGGAGCAGCAGGGCCCAGGTTGGGAACAAGGGTTATCAGGGGTGTAGTTCTGCAGAAAGTGCCCCTGCCACGTTTCCCTCCCTGCCAACTGTGGAGAAAGAGATAGGCACCCTCGGAGACAGAATTGGCAAGCTCCACGGCTGGCTGCTTCAGGGGAAGGAGTCGGGGCCAGGGAAAATCAGGAATGGGTGTCACACAGACAGATCTTTAAGCATTGGAAAGAAGTCTCCCATAGCCGTGGTGGTTGAGACATGGCAGAGGATGGTCAAGATGGTTCTATCAGGTCCTGGAGTGAAGCTGTGGGTCACCACTTAGCAAACCCCTTCCTGGTCTCAGTGGGGCCGATCATGTGTGCTTTGGTGCCCTCTTGTGGACTGATGTGGCACATGCATACAGGCATGCAAGGGGTTTCAACCCATGTTTTAACCCTTTGCTTTTTCTCCTCTCCTCGCACAGCCTTTCTGGTACACGACACCTTCAAACTGCAGGCACATGGAGCAATGGCATCAGGGTGGCACTGTGAGAAGCACCTTCCAGGCAACATGAAAGCCAGGGCTTTACTGACACAATTATATTCATCTGATCCTGGGCAAATGTCAATATTTGCTCAGTGAAATTTGACTCATCCACACTAGAAGGAAAAAATAGCTTCCCAAGTTGTCTGTATATCTGCCTCTTATTATGACCTCTTGGGATCCATGTCTGGGGTCCCAGAGTTTCTAACTCACCCACCAACCAAATGTCATAAACCTTTGCAGGGAATTGATTGTGCAGGGAGCTGTGAAAACAAGGAGAGTGGGCCGGAGTCATTCACTCATTCACTCACTCACTCATTCAGTCAGGGTTTATCGAGCACCTTCCTTGTCCGAGGATGGAGGTAGCCATGGCGTGATACTCAGAGCACCGCCTGTGAAATCAGGCAGACATGGGGCTGCATCCAGCTCTGCTTTCCACAAGCATCATGACATTGAACAAGTCATTTACTAAGTCTCGGTTTTCTCCTTACTTGTTCAAACAGCTGGGGAGGACAGCATCTCCCGCATAACGTTGTTGTCAGGATTGAATGAGATCATGGAGGAAAGCGCTCAGCTCTCAGAGTAGCCACGGCTACTCCTGCTGTATGGAGCGGCCAGCACGTCCAGGAACAGGCACAAATGCATAACAGATGGCTGGTTGACATTTCATTACAATACATAATGAAATAATATTGTCTCTGTTTCCAGACTTTACGGCCACTCTGTGTTCGCCCCTGCCCTTGATGAGTTTTCAGTCTAGACGGGTGGTTCTCAAAGTGTGGTCCCTGGACCAGCAGCATCAGCATCACCCGGGACCTGCTATGAAATAGAAATCCTCAGCCCCTCTGACCAAAATCTCGGGGTGGGGGGCTAGCGGTTTGTTTTCACAAGCCCTCCAGGGGACTGTGATGCACACTCACATTTGTGACCACCAATCTAGGGAAAATGACACGTGTAAACAAACAATTACAATACAAGCGGGCTTCCCTGAAGAAGCGATGCAACAGGCAGAGTCCTGAAGAAACAGCAAGTGTTCACAGGTGGACACAAGATGTGTTTGAGGAGGGATTAGCACTTGCAAAGGCTGGGAGGCCTGGAAGGGAGGCGTGTGCGGAGGGAACCACAGGTGATTTGGTCTGGCCACCTGGGGAGTGTGGGAGGCCAGCCTGGGGGAGGAAGGCAGGGGCCAGATTAGGAGGCCCTCTCAGTGTCGGTGTTCGGAATTTAGATTCTATCCTACACCTGATGGGAAGCATGAAAGGTTTTTAATGGAAAAAGATATGAGCAAATTTGCATTGTAGAAAAAAGCACTGTTGCAGCAAGATGGCCTAGAGGCAGGAAGATCAGTCGAAAAGCTGCTAGAATGTTCCAGCAGAGAGGTCACGTAGGCATGAACTCAGGCGGTGGCCATGGGGATGATGAGAAGTGGGTGGGTTGACAGATATTTAGGAGGAGAATTGGCAGGACCTATGGGAGGGGCCTGAGGAGGACTGAGGGTCCTGCCTTGGAGCTGCTGCTGAGGAAGATGGAACCAGCGTCCGTCCATGAGGGAAGGTGATGAGTCAGGACCGGACACGCTGAATTGGGAGACCTCAGGAGAGCACGCTGGGCTGTGGCTGAAGCAGGAATTAATTATGCCTCTGTTGTTTATCTCCCAACATTTTTCACTCATTTATTTATTTCAGCAAATACTGGGTTCCTATCGTGTGCCAGAAAGGTTCTAGGATAGAGTGGAAAACAAAATAGCCAGAATTTGTTCTCAGGGCTGACAAGCCAGTGGAGGAATACCAACAATAAATAAGTGAACAAATACATAAACCAAAAACATTCCAGTCATGGTAGGTGCTATGAAGAAAGTAAGAGGGACTAGGAGGAGGGGGGGACTTCAGCTGGGACAGTCAAGAAAGGTCCCTCTGAGAAGACGACATTTGAGCTAAACGAGAAGTAGGAGCTAGATGTGCAAAAATAGGAGGAAAGTGCTCCCAGGCAGAGGAAGCAGCAGATGCAAAGGCCCTGAGGTCAGAATGAACTTGGCCTGATAGAGGACAAGAAAGATGAAAATCAGCATAGCTGGCCAGCGTGGCAGTTGAGGTCAGAGAAGTAGACAGGGCCAGACCACAGTAGGTGGCGAGTTTTTAGAGACTGAAGAGATGAGGTAATACATGTGAAAGTGCTTAGTAAATGGTCTCAAGAACCCAATGCACATAAAGGAATTCTATGAGGGTATCTTCAAGGGGAAAAGAAGAAATAAGTCTTAACTGAACCAAGAAGGATTTTGGTTCAATTTCAGGGAAAGCTCAGGCTGTAAGAGCCCTGTCATATCAGAACAATTTCCAAAACAGATACTTTGTCCTTTTTGTTGTTGTTTTAAGAATACAGTTCACAGCCAAGATGATATAAGTGCTGACTGATCTAAGGCAGGGGATGGAAAGATGACAGCTCATGGTGTAGACGATGAAGACTTCGAAGAAGAGAGGGAGAGGAAGGAGACAGGAAGAGGGCACTCCCTCCACCGCCTGGGCGGGGGCTCCCTGGGGCAGCCGCTCTCCACCAGCCCTGCAGAGTCTGAGGCCAGCCCAGGCGGGGCGACCCACAGGCCTGAGCACGCTGAGCCTCACCCATGGGAAAGAGGCCAGGACCCCACCCGGCCGGGAGATGGAGAGACCAGACCACGGCAGAGGGCAGTGAGTCCACTCAGGTAGGTGCGGACCACTCCAGCCCAAAGAGCTGTCTTCTGCTCCCGAGGCTACGTCCAGGCCGTTCGCCAGTGCACCTTCAGTTGCTGAGAGCGTGAGCTACCAGGGCCTGACCAACCCCCTAGAGGAAAGCACAGCACCCCACACACCTGCCACCTCCAGGATTGCAAACGCCCCCACCCAGGAGAACAAGGGTCACAGTCGGCTGTGCCACCACCCAACCTGCCTGTCTGTGCACCCTATTCACACCCTCCCCACACTGGCCCCACTTCCTCCCGCTCATGGCATCCAGAGCTCCATCTCCTGCCTCTGAACCTTTGTCCCGTGTGTTTCCAGAAGAGCTCTTTCCTCTACTTTGTTGAGCCGTCTCCCTCCCACCCATACAGCCCAGCCCAACGCTCCACCCACCCACCCCAACCCAGAAAACTTCCCGTGATTGACACTGGCGCTCCCGGGGCCAACGTAAACATGCACACAGACACACACACTCCTGCCTTTATCTGCAGCGCTCTCCCAGAAGCCTTGACGCCTCCTGGCCATTCAGACCCCGGCAAGGCCTTCAGCGAAAAACCAGACCCTTTAACCACCTCTTCTCCCGAGGAGGTGGCGTCAGTGACAAGCACAAAAGCGGCACCAACAGTGAGACCAGAAACTCCACCTTACTCACTTGATGAAGTACACGGCTCCTTCCCGGGTGGAATCCACCTCCCATCCCCTGGGCAAACCTGTGAGGAAGCAAAGTCACAAGATCACCCTCTCTTCCTTCTCAGCCCCACAAGCCCGATCTGCGTCAGGAGGGCTGGGGCTGGGAGAACCAGGAAGATTCCTAGATGAGCCAACAGTGTTCAAACCAACCATTTCACCCTTTTCTGTCCATTATTCCTATCAATCTATGTTTCCAGCAAATAAGAGAGATGGCAGTGGAAGGGACGTCCCCTGTCAATGAGCGGTGAAGTGACCAAATGAATTGTTGCCTCAAAGATCCACTCATTCATTCAACAAACTTTTCCTGAGCATCTGCTCCGTGCCAGGCCCTGCACCAGCCCCCGGGGGATACAGCAGTGAATGCACAGATGGTGGCCCTGGAAGGGTCCTCAGGATCATCCCACAAGCACCCTGGTGTCACAGAAGCAGAAGCTAGAGCCAAGGGTGGTCACATGCCCCAGGCGTCACAGATAATTAGCACGCAAGATCAGACCAGGACTCAAGTCTCTCAATCCCAGACCAGTGTTATTACCTCCAGATTCTGCTGCTTTTGGATGAGCTGCTGAGGACTTTGGAAATCAGTCCCAGAAAAATGGAGAGACTTTAAAATTTTTTTGATAGCACCTCTCAAAAAAACTAACCATGGAAATGCTCAGAGTGGAGAATCAGTGAGCCAGGACAGCATAGCTGAGGCAGCTGACCCTCCCAAAAGTGCCTGGGCAGCCCCTGCAGGTGGGCGCTGCCCTGACTGGAGGCTCCGGGGAGCATGGTGCCTCCTGGAGCGCCCTCATCCTGTCCACTCTCCCAAACAGCCACCCTGGCAGTGTACTGCCTCCCAGCAAATGAGATTCCTCCACCACAAGGCAGAGGAGGAGGAGTCTTTTGAGAAACCCAAGAGAATCCGCTGTCAGAGGTGGGGACAGGCAGGGCCCAGGTGGGGAGCATTCGTTTTGGGAGCGCGAGAGCCCCGGCATTGACCTCCTGGAAAACAGGTCCAGCTTCTCCTGACAACCACTGCCACCTCTCTTATCGGTCCAGACACCCGCCTTGTGTATGAGGTTTATAAAGCATAGCTATTTGCCGGGGGTCTGAACCTCTCCAGCGATATTCTCTGCTGCCTATGGTTCTCTGCAGAGCTGGGTTCTGTAGAGGGGTCAGCCCCGTTTTCATTCATCCATTTACTCACCCCTATTTATCAAGGGTTTAGATTTCCACAGTTGCTGCTGATGGTGATGCTGCTGCTTCAACGCAGCAGGGCAGCCAGCGGACCCACTCCCCTGGCAGGGCTTGGTCCATAGAAATAATAACACCAGCTACCACTTAGCGAGTGCTTCCTTCCTCTAAGCTACACATGGTGCCACTGCCAGCACATTTAATCTGCACAGCAACATGTTAACAGGCACCAGCCCAAACACTTTTACAAATGAGGAAACTGAGACCCAGAGAGGTTAATCAACTTGCTTAAGGTCACACAGAGAGTGTCTGGGCCGGGATGTGAGTCTGGTTTACGGCCTCCAAAGCTCACATTCTTTCCTCTGAGCTGCTCCATAAATGCTACTTGTTCCCCTCTGTCCCTGTGGGAGGACGTCCCCATTCAGCAGGGCCAGGTTGGCAGCCTCCCCAAGTGAAGGGATCCCCATTGGGTCAGAATCATAAATAATCCTGCCACTGTGATGTGCCTGGGAAAGAGGCCAGCATGGATTATGTCCCCTGCCTTTTCCAGCAACTCCCCTCCACACTGCCCTCTCTGCCCGGGCAACACCACGACCGCTTATACTCCTGTCCAGGCGGAGTGCCCGCCGAGGCAGCTGCCCTCTCAGCAAGCTTCGGCGGCACTTTAACCCCTTCCCAGCCTTGCACAACCAGCTGGCTGCAGCCAAAAATGAAAGAACTGGCTCACAGGCTTTTATTCACCCTCCAGTCCTACTGAGGGTCAAGATGGGAGGGATGGACTAAATTGTGAACAGCTGGGGCACTGGAGGCGGCAATCACACCAACAGCAAGAGGGAAACAGCTTGGCCATGGGGTCAGGAGGCCTCGCTTCAGGTCGGAAATACAACAGTGACAATAACGACAGCAGTCACCTCCATCAATAGTGACTCTCTCCTGTAATCTTCACTCCAGCCTTTTGAGGTTTATAATCCTACCCCATTTCACAGACGAAGAAGCCAAGTCCGGGAAGGATCAGACCACTCGCTCAAGACCATGGCAACAGAAAGTAGCGCCCAGGTCTGAGCTCAGGTGTGTCTGCCTCTAGAACGTCTACGTTTGAGCCCGATACTGCTTTGCTTACTCGCTGAGTGGCCTTGAGCCAGGCACTTCCTCTGGGCTCTTCAATTTCCCTTCCTTCAACATGAAGGAGTTGGACTCCAGGATCCCTGAAGTCCCTTCCAGCTCTGAAAACACAATGATTCCAGCCCAGAATCTAAAAGAAAGTAGGCCTGGGCAAGTCAACACCTTAACCCAACGGGTCCGCAGTGCCGGCATGTTCCATGAGCAACTGGCTCCTGGAACCACATGACTGCAGTGCGGTCAGGTGAAGGGCTGGAAGGCCAGTGGGGGCGGGGGTTTCCCACGTAGCAGCTCGCATCCCTGCCCTTTAGTGGCCTGTGGCAGCCTCCTGACAAGGACGGTGCTGTTCACTTGAAGTGACCCCGGCCTTCTGACTCTCGGGGTCTCCACCTCTTCAATTAGATGGGAATCTTCCTTGGCCCTCCGTGTCCCTCCTCTGCACCAGCCTGCGAGGTCCCTGAGAGCTAGCAACAGGGTCTTCTCCAGAGTGAGCAGTCAGTGTTGGCCCTGTCCACTTTTCTTTCATGTTCCCCTTGATGAGAAGGAGTTCCTACTAGCCATGTGGGGATATATTGTGTGTGTGTGTGTGTAAGGAAGATCGGCCCTGAGCCTACATCTGCCAATCCTCCTCTTTTTTTTGCTGAGGAAGACTGGCCCTGGGCTGACATCCATGCCCATTTTCCTCCACTTTATATGGGACAGCATGGCTTGACAAGTGATGCACCGGTGCGAGCCCGGGATCCGAACCAGCGAGCCCTGGGCCGCCAGAGCAGAGCACGCGCACTTAACCACTTGCACCACCAGGCTGGCCCCCATGTGGGGATATTTAAATTTAAAATTAATTAAAATCTAAAATTCAGTTCCTCAGTCACACTTTCATTTCAATTGCACAGCAGGTACACGTGACTAGTGGCGACTGTACTGGGCAGCGCAGAGAGAGAATATTTCCATCGTGGCATGAAGTGCTATGATACAGCACTGGGGCTGCGGCTCTGCCCAGCTCAAGAGATCTCAGGACAGACGGGATTTTCTGACTGGGCCGAGGGATGAGAGAGGAGTATAATACTTGTCCTCAAAGGTCTGTCCCAGATACTAATCATAGAGCTGGAAGCTTGGAAAGACCTTGAGGTGAGCATTAACCCTCCTGCAACATCTCCCAGATGGCGGTCCAAATGCTAAGCTTGGTCCATCCACAAAGAAAGGAAAGTCAGAAGCAAAGTCAGAGCAGGGTGTTCCTACTGCCATTGGGAGCCACTGCTTCCTCCTCGACTGCAAAGGCAAAGACAGATGCACTCCTTACCTGGGCTGGAGGAGTGTCCACTCTGGATGGGTGACTCTGTCCCAGGGTGCACCCAGCTGGTTGACTTTTCCTCATCACTGTGAAAACCAATAAGAAAGTGTCACATTACAAGAGAGGCTTCCCTGAGCAGGACACTCATCTCTAAATTCACATCAACACTGACTGTCCCATCCCAAACACCTGAGATGGGGCATCCGCACTGCCATTCGTTCACTCACATTCACAGAGCACTTACTGAGCAGACTCTGAGGACTCAGAGACAAATACTCATCTCTGATCCCTGACCTCAAAGGACTTATAACCCACTGGGCAAACAGGTATATAAAAAGAGAGTTGCAATATGAAGCAATGGGAACTATAATCCGTATGAGAGCTCTGCATAGAGAGTGTTACACCATGGCCGAGGAGGGAGTGCTGACCGGGATGAAGTTGAGGAAGGGGAACAGCACGAAGGCTTCACTGAAGAGGGGACATTTGAGGGGACTGGCGACGTCGCATGGGAAGAACAGGGAAGGTCTTTAACTGACAGCTTGTCGATGGATAAGAAAGGAGGGAGGGCCGGCCCAGTGGCGCAGGCGGTTAAGTGCGTGCGCTCTGCTGCGGCGCCCGGGGTTCGCAGGTTCGGATCCCAGGCGCGCACCGATGCACTGCTTGTTAAGCCATGCTGTGGCAGTGTCCCATATAAAGTGGAAGAAGATGGGCATGGATGTTGGCCCAGGGTCGGTCTTCCTCAGCAAAAAAAGAGGAGGATTGGCAGATGTTAGCTCAGGGCTGATCTCCTCACAAAAAAAAAAAGAAAAGAAAAGAAAAGAAGAAAGGAGGAGGCTGAGTGAACCCACGGTCCCTGAATGTCTACAATGCTATGTAGTTTCATTCCCAACACTCCCTCCCATTAGGAAGTTTATAGAATTATGAATCTGGGCTTCAGAGAAGTTAAGTAATTTGTCCCCAAGTCACACAATCAATAAGTGATGAAGCCAGGATTCAGACATAGATCTGTCCCCTCTAAAACCTAAGCTCTTGCTAATGTCTCACTCCCAGCAAGGTGGGCTCCCCAACAATGCAGACCCTCTGGGCTCTAGGTCTGATGGCAGATGAGCCCATCAACATTTCTCAATCCCCCACCAACCAAGCGACACCAATTTTCCCCGAGCCCGATGTAACCTAGCAGGACGGATCCAGGCGTGTGGAGGAGAGACCTCTCAGATCACCTGGGTCATCCAGGCTGTAGGGTGGGGCCTCAGTGCCAGGACAGGACTTCACTCAATGCTTTTAAAGCATAATTAATACCTTAATATAATAAACTCCACTAGGAAGGGCTCCACTAAATTTTTACTAAAGTAAGATACAGAATAAACTGCACATATTTATTTATTCATTTTTTTTTTCCCCCCAAAGCCCCAGTAGATAGTTGTATGTCATAGGTTCACATCCTTCTAGTTGCTGTACGTGGGTCTCGGCCTCACGTTGGACGGAGAAGTGGTGCCTTGGGGCGTGCCCGGGATCCGAACCCGGGCCGCCAGCATCAGAGCGCACGCACTTAACCGCTAAGCCACGGAGCCGGCCCTAAACTGCACATATTTAAAGGGTACAATTTAATAAGTTTTCACATATGTATACACCTGCGAAACTACCACCAAATCAAGATGTGAACTCCCAAACTTTCTTTGTGCCCCTTTGTAATTCCTCTCCCTCTCTCCAACTCCTGCTATCCTCACCCTCCCCCCAGAGCAACTGATCTGCTTTCTGTTACTATAGATAAGTCTGCATTTTCTACAGTTTCTAGAATTTTAGATAAATGGAATCATACAAACTAGACTTTTCCTTCTTTCGTTCCTTGTTTCTTTCTTCCAAATGGTAGCATGTGTTAACAGTTCATTCCGTTTCATTACTGAGTAGTATTCCATTGTAGGATATACCACGTGTGTTCATCCACTCACCCGTTGATGGACATTTGGGTTGTTTTCAGTTCTGGCCACCACAAATAAAGCTGCTATGAACATTCGTCTCCAAGTCTTTGTGTGGACATATGTTTTCTTTTCTCTTAACTCTACTAATGTTTCTCTAAGTCTGGACACCTGCTGTAGGAAGAGATTTCCCAGCTGACCCACCCCTCTGATGAGGAGAGAAGGAACAAAGTCACTGTCCTGGTGCCCCTGGGGCCCGGGAGCCATTGTGCGCCTTCAGAGATGACCTGTGGTCTGGGCTTCGGTCCTGGGAGGCAGTGGGAGAGGAAGCCGGGAAGGAGAGATCAGCCAGCACTGAACTTTAAGTGGGAGGTGAAACTGATTCTTACACCTTCTCTTCAGCCCCCATCCCTCCCCTCCTCTCACACTGTCGGCTCCCACAGACCTCACTCTATCTCCACCTCGCCTGGATCTCACGGATATCACAGGGGTGGGCACAACACCCCCACACCCTTGACTCCCTCTTCCCCTTGTCCTGCTAGCCTCCCCTCGTCAGCCCTAGCCCAGAGCAATGCATTCACAGGCTGTCTCCACTCCCGCTTTGGGCTGATGGGGAAACTGGAACTGGGAGGACTGGTGTCACTGCAAATCCACAGTCCCCAGGCTTGGCTGGGCCCTAAGCGCCACCTAGAATCTTCTCCAGGGTCCCTAGTCAGTTGCCACTTGCAGAGTGTTCTAAGGCTTCCCCACCAACCTCAAGGCCCAGGCCTGCCTCCCCCCCTCTTCCCCATTCTCAGTGGATAATCTTATCTCTTAACTCAAGAAAAAATAACAACTGATATACAACTATGTACCGGGGGCTTTGGGGAGAAAAAGAAAAAAAGAGGAAGACTGGCAACAGATGTTAGCTCAGGGCCAATCTTCCTCAAAAAAAAAAAAAAACCTCATTTAAAAAAAAGAAAAAATAGAAACCATTATGCAGGTGCTTCCCCAACACACCCAACCGCCCCACCTCCAAACTGACCCATGTTCCCATCATCCTTTAACACTTGTCTCTACACTGGAGAAGAGGTGGCTTCCTCCATTTAAGGCTAAACCCTCTGCCTGGGTTGTAGTCCCCAACCTCTCCCATCTTTTCTAGAACCTTATTCTATTGAGCATCACAGACTTGTACTTTCAACTTCTCTCTCCCTCTTGGGTCCATCCCTTTAGACTCCACTCCTTCACATCTTCCAGTCTGAGCTCTCGGCCTCCCTCTCAATGCCTCCTCCTCTCCCAGCTTCCCTTCTCCTTCTCTTCTTCTTACTGACCAGACATCCCTCTGGGAAACTAGTCCCTTCTAGCTGTCCCCACTTCCTGGTCTCCCACTCACCAGTCGTCTGCAGTCTGGTTTCTGTCCCCGCCCTCCCCTGAGACCACTTTCCTCAAGGGCACTGAAAACCTCCCTGGCTCTGAAACCCAGCAGATATCTTTCAGCCTTGAGCTCGTTTGGCTTTTCCTCTGTGGACCGTTCCTTCCTTCTCAACACCCCTCTTCCTCGCCTTCTAGGGCAGCACCCTACCCTGCCCTTGTGCTACCCACCTCTGCAACCCCTGGGTCTTCTTCTCCACCTGGCCTCTCTTCCTCTATCCTTTCCTTCAATGCTGGTGCCCTCCTGCCTGGGTACCCTCCTGTCTTCTCCCTCACACACTTCTGGGTGGTTCCACCTCCAGCGATGACTCCCAGGATTCTCTCTCCAGCCCTGGCCTCTCTCTTCAACCTCCATCCTGTACATCCAGCTGCCTGAATGTCCTACGGGGACCTCGAATTCAGTATCTCCCTATTGAACCTGTACTCTCCCTAAAATCTGTTCCTCTTCTCATACTCCTGATCTCTGTCAAACTCAAATTCAAAATTCTGAGATTTACCTTCAGTTCTTCCTTTCCACCCCCCATTCCCCACTACCCAGGTACTAAATGAACACTCGCGATTCTCCTACTAAAGATTGCTCCCATCTCTCCCTCCCCTTCGTTCTAGTCTCACCGCTTTAATTCAGGTCCCCGTCAGCTGTCTCCCAAACTTTTTACAATCGCCTCCTAACTGCTCTCCATACCTCAAATTTCTCGCCCTGCCCCCCATTCAGCCCTCAAATCATCATCCATGCAGCTGCCCAAGAGAGATCCTGCTAAAACGCAAATCTAACTATGCCAGTGCTCTGTTTACAATCTCCTTTGGTGCCCCATCACCTCCAGGATCAAGTTCAAACCCCTTAGCCGAACACACAAGGCCTTTCTCCAAAGCAGTCCCCTTCCTACTTGTTCTGCCTCATCTTCTGCAGCGTGCCGGCAGCCTCCACTCCATCTCTACTGAACCCCTCAGAGTGTTCTACATAACTCGTGCCCTGGCACCTATCAGTACCCTCCTTCCCACAGGCCTCTGCTTCAAGGCCCCTTTCACTGTAGTCTCTGTCCTCCAGAATCAGCTCAAATATTTCCTCCTCCAGGAGGCCCTCCCTCAACTCCCCAGAGAGCATTAGCTCTTTCTTCCGTGTGTTCCTATAACATCATGCAAATACCTCTAGAATGTATGCTATTATTTCTTAAGGATTTTTTTTGCCTTTTTCTCCCTACTACCTTCAAGGAAGGTATCTGTATCTTATTGCTTTTTTTTTTTTTTTTACCTCCAATGCCTAGCACTGTGGCAGACAAATAGTGGATACTCAATAAATATTTCTGGAATGAAAGATGAAAAGAAGTCAGAAGGCAAACAAGAGATTGAGAGGAAAGAAGAGAAGAGCCACATTAACCACTGCCTCAGAATATCTGAGGAGTTTGTGGAAATTCAGATTCTCGGGCACCACACCAGATCTTCTGAATTGGAATCTTGGGATGTAGCGCTCCGGAATCAGCCTTTTTAATAAGTTCCTTGGGTGATTTTTATGGACTGTAAAGTCTCAAACTACTGACTGAAGGGACTCCAGTTTTAATACCGGGGAAGTTCTGTTATTTAAGAATCTGACCTAGGGTCAAGAACTTTAGTAGAGTTAATTTCTAAGATAATATAATTACAACATCAATTATGATCACGGTGCGATAATTACAGAAGAAAGGCCTACAGCAAATGTGGAAACTCAGAAACTCCAGAGAGAAACTGCTGGCTGCTTGAGCTCCTGCAAAGGCCGCCTGGTACCAGGGGAGAAGCAGTGCACCCAGATCCACCGGCACTGGGCTTCGTCCGAGCTCTAACTAACCAGTGGTTTTATCTCTGGACAAGTACTCTCAGTCTCTGGGGACCTCGCTCCTGACCTGAAAAATGAAGGGGTTGCATCCAAGGCTCCTCTCAGCTCTAATGCTCTGTAAGTGACTGTCTTGAGGAGGGGAAGCCTCATCATGTGTGGGTAACAGTTCAGAATGCTGTGGTTCTAGACTTGCTAGATTATCGGGAGATTTTTCTCCTGGCAAAAGATGACTACAGTAGGAGTGGGCCAAAACAGCGCCAGCGGGGCCACGCCGGTATAATGAGATTATGCCAGAGCCATTTTGGTTTATGAAATTAATATAACAGTGCTAATATATGACTAGGAGCAGCAAAGGCTCCCTCCCTCTAAAGAGCGCCAAACGCATTGTGGGCATCTTCTCCTTCCCCTGGACCACAGCCTCAAAAAGAAGCAGGAAGGGAGAGGGACTGCCCTCTGGGGACCCCTGAGTCCTAGGGTGTGGGATTGCCCGGAACTGGGTGGCAGAGGCAGGGTCCCTCGGCATCTTGTCGCTGAGTCCAAGTCTTCCCGTAGGAAGTGGGGGTCGGGGGGTGGGGCGGGCCAAAAAAGAAAGTACTCGCCCCCCGCCCTTTCGGTGGACCCAGCTGAAAGGGAAGAACTGCAGGCTGGCGCGGGGTCTAGCCGCTGTCCTCAGGGCCCCACCCCCGTGGCTGGGGGAGAGGAGAAAGCCCAGCACCTGCCGGGCCCTGCCCTGCCTTCCCAGACCCAGGTCAGCGCTGAGCCTTCGCAGGACTTTGACCCATCGAGGGAAAGGCGGGAGACACATTCAAACCGGCACGCCGATAAACTTATTAGTCACGCTGCCCCTCCAGCCACCGCTCCCCACCCTCCAGCCGCCCCCGGCCCCACCACCCTTCCAGTTGGCCAACTTCAGAGAAAACATGAAAACACAGGAGGGACCCACGTACTTGACGAAGAAGACTCTCCCGCCGCGGTCCACTCCGTAGGTCCAGCGGCCGGGCAGGTCCAGCCAGTCGATCTCCTCGGCCATCGCGGGCCCGCAGCCCTTCGCCCACCCGGCGGCCCGCTGCCCGCTCCTCGGAGGCCGGGCCGGCACGGCGCACCTCCCGGCCGCGGACGGCCT